GGATAAGGTGGAGGAGATATCGTGCTGCGAGTTTCGACACTTCGGCCCCTTTGATGCCTATCTCTCTCGAGGAACTCGTAAAAATTCTAAACGCCAGATTTAATTAAATACCGACCGAGTCCAAAACGAGCTACCCTCTGTGCGGGGCCGAGAACCCATCCGAGAGAGACGATTAGAGAATCAACAGAGATCGAGCCAATTTGGTCGATGTATACCGTACAATTCTAATGATGAATCGATGCTCGAACTATTCCATTGCAATATCGATATCGAATATTATCGATACTAATAATCGATCCTATCGAATTTGATTGGATCGAGTCTTTCATTCGAGCGGTGGAAAATACTTTACCGATCGATTTCTGGTAACTTTTGGTCGAAAGTAATGGGGAAATTTTTGGCGAGCGTAGAGAATTCGAGGTATGAAGAATTTGTAACGAATTTGAAGAATATAGGGTTTTTTTTTGAAGAATGGAAAAATTTGGAGAAAAGAGTGACCAATTCTGATAAGGATAAGATCGAGAAATATGAAAAATTTAAAGAAATTCTGAAAGAAATTACAAAATCTTGAAATGGAGGAAAATTTTGATCGAATCTCGTTATCACGTTATCGTGAATAGAGGAAACGTAAGAATCTACATAAACGGGAAGAAAAAAAAGAGAAAAATATCGTTTAAATACAATCTAACGCATACGAGATTGGCAATTGGCATCTTTGCACTCCATTAAGTTGGAATCCAGGCGTGTTTAACGATGGCGGCAGGTACGTATCGAGAGGATTGGCCACCCGGTAGCGCTAATGGCCGCACAACTCTTAGATGCGAAGATTTTATTTCGCCTATCATTCGCCTCTCCCGCTCGTTCTCTTCCGAGAAACGGTTGTTCGCGATTGCGTTTCGATGTCAGCCACTTTGCAAATGATAAGATACATCTCGAGATTATTCCTTTCCTCTTCTCTTCCTCTTCCTCTTCTTCTTCTTGCTTCGTTTCTATGGATTGCTTCCTTATCGAACGAACGAATGGGATAATTGTTGGATCGGTTGTTTTGAGATAACGTTCGATCTTTATGCACATGAAAAAGAGATTTTATTGTTTATTGCTTTTACAGTCAGTTAAAACTTGAATATTAAAGTAGATATATCGTTTCGACGTATTCTTGAACTTCATTTTAAGGTTAAGTTTCAAACTTGGATTTCATGTTAGAATTTTTACATATAAAATTCTATCAGTTACGAAATTTTAACTCTTATATAACGATATTTCAAGGAAAATTACACTTACATATTTCAATTTTGCATATATGTTTTACACATTTTAGGTAAGAAATTTTAACTCGAATATAAACATAACAATATAATCCCTTCTATGTATAAACGATTTTTCTTTAAACTATAATAATAACATTGTCTTAAATTACACATTTTACATACAGTTTTAATTCTTTCACTTTGAATAACAATTTCCTATATATATATATATA